GTGTTTGCTGTTCATATTGCATTGCAACTCTCTCTCTTTCTCTTTTTTTTTTTTTCTCTCTCTCTCTCTCTCTCTCTCTCTCTCTCTCTCTCTCTCTCTCTCTCTCTCTTGGAAACCATGTTGGACTCGTTGGAAACCATGTTGGACTCGTTGGGAATAAGTTGATAATGATGATGAGTAGTTGAACACAACAGAAAACCCAGTTTCAACAGTTGGTCACACCCCTTCTGGCGTGAACAAGTTAGACATCAAAAAAAGTTTTTGTTGAATTTCGGCGACAATTTTTCTGTAGTAAGGGATATATGCGGGACATCGTCCGACCACTGATGCAGGAGAATCCGATGGCAGCAACTTACGATGGATTTATATTCTGAAGTGGTTTTGTTTTTTTTTGTGTGTGTTTTGTCTTTTCAGTTCCAAAGAATGCGAGGGGGGGAAAGAAAATAGAAAGACTCATTTTGATTGGCAGCTCTTCAAAAGATTAAAAAATAATCAAGTACTCAAAGGGCATGGTTTTGCACACCTTCTTTTTTTCGGTCAATTGTAACCCCATCCGGTACTTGATTGTTCTCCCAAAACATACGAACTGCACGCTTCAGCATAGCAAACGTCAGAGAAGGGAGTCCCATCAGGCACACAAAGGGACTCCCTCGCGGTGGTACGTGAGACTGCAACAGTCATATACCACTCTGTCCTGATTATGCATTGGCCGGGTGGGAAGGAGGGGGGGGAGACGTCAGGCTTAGGCTTGGACCCCACAGGTTTCCGCCTTGGAAAAACTTTGCCGCGGAAAGTTTTCTGGTACCCCACAGGCTTGCGCTAAGTCTGTGGAAGGCCGTTTTCGTTTTCCAAAACCCTGTTTCTGGAACCCCACACACCCGGAAACGCGGCCTTGGAAACACCCCTTGTCGTGTTTTCACTTGGTTTCCGACCTGGAAACCACCGCGGGAGGAAAAGTCGCCGCGATTTTGTGCAGGGTAGCGAGGGCACGATGAAGGGTACCCTTCAACCTTTCCAAGGTCGCGGACGAAATGTGAACCTCCCTGTGTCCGTTCGCCATTCCGACGAGGACCTAGTGCACGGACGAGCAGGATTCCTTGTCGCCCACTGCATACAGCCATTTGGAAGGGTACCGGTCCCACTCGCAGAGAGGAAAAAAAAATACCGCTCTTCCGTCCGTTTTCAAAATTTAGAATTTCGAACTTCCGCTCTCACGTGCAGCCTTGGTGCGGACATGCAGGCGATGTGGGCCAGTCGTGTCAACTGCGGGTATCTGCTCTGCTGTGGGAGAGTACATATAGTTCAGTGACGCACGGGCGGATCGCAGCAGCCATATCCGAACATCGGCCAAACGCCTTCCCATGCAGAGAGTCGGATTCCTCCATCGCCAACTTCGGCCTTGGTCCTCGCTTGCCACCTCTGCACATGGTCTGGGTCGTCGCCTGCTTCATGTTGCGAGGGTATTGGATTGCGGGTCCGCGGAAAGCCATGCATTCCATGCACGAACTTTAGCAGGCGGGCGTCTCGACTGTGGCAGTCGGCTATGGTGCGCCCATGCACCTGGAAGTGAGGTTATGACGTTGTTGCGTGCCAGCCGTTCGCCTATCATATCCGGTTGTTGGAGAAGCTCGTCACAGGTGAACGGTGACATCGCCGCCATCTTGCCTAGGCTTCCTCCTCGGGTGACAGTTCGAGCCGCGAAAGTGTGAGGGTGGGATGTGGCGGATGTGAGAGGGGCCGGCGGACAACCCATCTTCTCGTTTGTGCCACTGCCGTTTCCGTTCCAGCTTCTTGGAAGAGCACCGCCGGACACGTCGTTCCCCGTGCACCATCGCAGAGTGTGTGCACCGACCGTCATCGTCATCGAAGGGGGCCATAGCTTTCGTAGTCGGCGGAACATCGTCGCTGTGTTCGTTTGGGCGTTCGTCATGTGTCTTGGTCTCACAGTGTTTTTGTTGGCGGTACTTGCTGTGTGTGTGGCCGCAGTTCTCGTGACCATCCTGTCACGACGGGGCTGACCTCGGCTGTGGCGTGTGGGAGTTGGATCTCTGTGTGCGGTGATAGCTATGGATGGTGGCAGTTTCACCTCGCAGTTGTACAGCGAATCGGGAGGGTCGCAGGGCGTGGAAGTGTGTGAGGACATGAACGTGCATTTGGAAAGCAACAGATACCGGGCGAGCCTGTCGGCAACGACATGGCAATACGTGCCGGACTCTCAATTGTCCGGTGACACACGATCGCAGTTCGTGGCACGAGCCGCGGACCCCCGGGCCGCTTACATCGTGGGGTCGATGGACTCATCATCGTCCTTTGGCCGGGGGACGTACCCGCCGCAGTCGCAACCTCGCGGCACGCAGCCATCCATAGGTGGAACTGCCTTCCATTCTCCGCAACCATACGCTGGAAGGGGGGGATCTTCAAGGACGAACGCGGGGGCGTGGGGGAGTAATCCGCAGCAGTCGTCGCAACCATCATCACACCGGCCGCAATGTATGCCGCCTTTAGCGCAGCCTGTTGTCAGCCGCGGCGTTGTGGGTGGTGGCGAGACCTTTGTGAATGGCAGGTCATCTCCGGTTGATCAGGGCTACCGACAACAAACTCCAATGGGGCCGGGTACCATTCGATACGACGATGGAGGTGCAACTGCCCCTACGCCAGGTGGAGGTGATCGCCAGCGGGGTAGTGCAAGCCGGGGAGTCCATACACCACCATCGGGTAATTGTCGATCAAGGGACGGTGAAAGACTGTCCTTTTCGCATCCGACTGTTGGTGTGGACAGTGTTCCAAGTGAACGACAAGGGCGAAACGTGTCAAACACAGGTGGAACACAAGACACAAGTGCGAGAAGTCGAGAATGCAGCGTGGAGGACGACGGAAGTGGTCGACCGCCGAAAGAAGGTGGTGCTGGAGAGCGGAAAAAGGGGGGGAAGTCCACGACGGTGCCGAAGAAGAACACCCTGTGGACTCTAGAGGAGCGAGTGTTGTTGGCGAAAATCAGCGGCGAGGACGATGCTCTCATGGCTGATGCAGAAGGAGTTCATTCACTCATGACAAGGGGCAGGCGTTACGATTGGATAGCGGACCGCATGAAGGAGAACGCATTTGCACGCACAGGAGAAGATTGCCGAAAGAAATGGACGGAGCTGCAAAAAAAGGTTCGAGAAATAAGGGATGCATGCGATGGATCGGACAAACAGCCATACTGGGATCTAACAACGGAGGCGAGAAAGAAATTGAACATCCCCATGACTTTCGAGCGGCCGTTGTGGGATGCAATGGAGTGGTACCGCCTGAAGGCTGCTTTCACCATGGACAACACAATGGCGTCTGAGGAATTGAGAGGGATGGGTTCTGCAACTGCCAGCGAGGCGGGGTCAGAGGGCGGGGGAACAGAGACTTCAGGTGGCGCACCGAAGACTCGGAGGACGGACTCTGGGAAAGTTTGTGGTTCCGATGTCGGGCAAGGTGTGTCGGCGATGGCGGTGGCTATGGAGGACACGAGCCGAAGACTATGCAAAGGTCTAGACACGGCTGTTGGGACGTTGGCTTCGGCTACCACAGAAGGGGCCGCTTTGATGGCGGCACGGCTGGGCGACATGGCAACGGAGATCGGCCACGTCGCGGGGGCAATGCGGCAGGGAACTCCGTTTTGGAGTTGCTCGTGGGTGTGATGGCAGGTAGACGTGGCGGACAACCTGCCGGGGAACAAGGGGGGCGGGGGGGGGGTGACATGAGCGGTGACAAGGAGCGGCGAAATCATAGCCAGGCAAGGTCGGATGGGAGGGTTGTTTGGGCTGGGGTTCCACCATGGCCGCGGATGGGAGTCTGGATTTTAGGGACAAGACAGCAACACCCCGCACGCTACATGGGGATAACACCGATCCTCAGGAAAAAAAAATAAAAAACAATAAAATCGAGATTCCGATGTCATCGTCGGCTTTCGTAATCGAAACGTCCGGCCCCGCATACGACAAGATACGGGGACGAGAAGGGCAAAAAAAAAATAATAATAATAAAATATATATATATATTTTCACCCAGGAAAGGGAGGGGTTTGTCTGCGTGAAGGTGGTGGTCGTGATCGACTGGACTGGGCGGTGTGATGGTATACAGGAACCTCCATGCTCCGCTTTGTTTCGTGTGGACAGCACTACCTTGCGCTGCACTGCCACCGACTGTCAACAGCCGTGGAGCGCTAGCCGTCCAGTGTGGTCGATCGGTGGCGGATGAGAGAGAGAGAGAGAGAGAGAGAGAGAGAGAGAGAGAGAGAGAGAGAGAGAGAGAGAGAGAGAGAGAGAGAGAGAGAGAGAGAGAGAG